TTATACTTGGACAGGATTATTAGGGTTACATCGACCTCAATTATTTGAACGAAACTTGAACAAAAGAGAAAAGCTAATTCAACAGAAAAAAGCCTTGTGACTTTTACAGTTGCACATCTCTAACCTAACCCTATAAGATTCAATGTTAAGGAAAAAGGAAAAAATTGTGCATTTTTTCTGCCTTCACCTATTCGCTGGTTGCCAGAAGGGCTATTCCGGCCAGATTCTGGCTGGAATCTGGAAGGATCACCTACCGGTGATCTCACGGGGCTCAACCTGGGAGAGTTTGCTAACATTAGCCCTAGCAAGAGCAGTGCTTTGCAAAATCTACTAATTGGAATTGCAACCCACTGAGAAGATCCGGCGAGAAACTCAGTGGGCTGTTTATGGGTTAGTTCGCTCGTTGAACTCTTAGTCATGATCGACGAGTTTGACAAGGACGGTGACAGACTTGACGAGCCTGAAAGGACCGAGTGTCATGTAAACAAACACATATCGTCTTCTCGCATTAAAACTGTATAATCTCAAAACTTACTAATTTTACAGGAGTGTTTTAAATGTTTAACATGGGATATTTTAAATATTAATCATCTTTGCAACATTCATTTTTTACTTTTTACCAGTTATATTATCTGTCTTTTACAGTAAGATAAAATTATGTATTAATTTTGTTAATGGTAGTCAAAATATAGGTAAATAAAAAAAAAAACTAAAACTAAACTACGCTCTTTTGACAGTATTTATGAGAAAAATACTGGTGATACGCATATTAACTCAATTTCGAATATATTTGGAAATTGTTTACTTTTATTGCGAAAAGTCGATATCCATGTGACTGTCGCAACCAGGGCAGATTTATTGAAAAGTTCCGATGCTTATCGCCGCAGATTTTCTTTTTTTTATTGCTTGGATGGATGGACCAGCTCACAGCCCACGTGGTTGTTAAGTGGTTAATGGAGCCCATAGACATCTACAACGTAAATGCGCCACCTACCTTGAGATATAAGTTCTAAGGTTTCAGTATAGTTACAACGGCTGCCCCACCCTTCGAACCGAAACGCACTACTGCTTCACGGCAGAAATAGGCAAGGTACCTACCCGTGCGGACTCACAAGAGGTCCTACCATCAGTAAGATGTTCCACTCCACCAGTGATGAACACACGCGATATTCATTAAAGGATCGCGAGATTATAATGGGACCACCTTGAACTACTACAATGTTATTTCAAAGCATTCATTCAAATAACTTACTCCACAATTACCGATTTTTACACATATTTAATATATACTTTTTTTTTCTTTTCTTTTTTATTGCTTAGATGGATGGACGAGCTCACAGCCCACCTGGTGTTAAGTGGTTACTGGAGCCCATAGACATCCACAACGTAAATGCGCCACCCACCTCGAGATATAAGTTCTAAGGTCTCGGTATAGTTACAACGGCTACCCCACCCTTCGAACCGAAACGCATTACTGCTTCACGGCGGAAATAGGCGGTGTGGTGGTACCTACCCGTGCGGACTCACAAGAGGTCCTACCACCAGTGATTACGCAAATTATAATTTTGCGGGTTTGGTTTTTATTACACGATGTTATTCCTTCACCGTGGAAGTCAATCGTGAACATTTGTTGAGTACGTATTTCATTAGAAAAAATGGTACCCGACTGCGGGATTCGAACACCGGTGCATCGCTTCAACACGAATGCACCGGACGTCTTATCCTTTAGGCCACGACGACTTCACATATACACATTCACATATACATATTCGTTTTTATAGTTTTGCCATGTTTGAGGTCTAGTGGTATCCAATAAGTTCTGTAAATGGCTGCTGCGCGTTGAAATTGCGACCTCGCGGTGCAGTCTGGCGATTTTAAGTGTAGATCCAAAGCCTCGATTTAAACACAACCGGATCACGATAGCGTGAATGTCAGGAAATAAACGCGTGTCTAAATTATAACTAGAACAGAATTGTTGCACGTTGAGTCATTTTCTCTAAAGACTTATTATAATATTTATTTTGTTACTAGCGATCCGCCCTCGCTTCGCTTCGAAAACATTAAATTTTATTATTGATAGTTGAGTCTCGCGTTGTTACCTGTGGTTATTGTCGTACTGCGGGTGACGCCGCGGGGTGAAGATAGTCTAAAAAAAGTAGTCTACGTTACTCTTTATATCATCAGCTACCTATCAGTGAAAGTCTCATCAAAATCAGTTCAGCCGTTCCAGAGATAAGGCGGAGCAAGCAGACAGACAGACAGACAAAGATTGTAAAAAATGTTATTTTGATGTATGTACCGTACCTATATATTTACATATGCATGTAGCGGTTATTTCAATATTACGAACAGACACTCCAATTTTATTTATATGTATAGATATTATAATTTGTACTTTATTTCAAATTTATTGTTGTAAGTCGTAATTTGTTACCGACGTCAGAGCTGGTGTGTGTATAATCAAGATTCGTTATCTAATTAAATTTTTAATTAATCAAGTAGGCTTTTTTTAATGCTATTTGGCCTAGGATGGACCACCGACTCGGAACAGTATTATCACCAAAGAATCGCCAACAAATCTAGGGCTTGTTTTTCAATATACCTACTTACATATCGCATCGTAATCGTAAAACAAAAGTATACTAGGTTTTTGAATAGTATTTACATATTTAAAAAAAATAAACACCCCACATTCATCATGAGATGTTCGAAGCTATCCATTCCTGCAACTTTAAATTTTTCATAGACACTCCTTTTGTGATGTCGTCCTCGCCGAACCCGTCGCTTGCGATGATGGGCTCGGCGAGTAAATTAACTCACAGACACAGCCCACTGAGTTTCTCGCCGGATCTTCTCAGTGGGTCGCGTTTCCGATCCGGTGGTAGATTCTGCGAAACACTGCTCTTGCTAGGGCCAGTGTTAGCAACACTCCGGTTTGAGCCCCGAGAGCTAGGGTAACGCTGATATAACCTCTCAAAACTATCAGCATAGGTAGGAAAAAAAAGTATTTAAAATTATTTTACCTCCTGATCGGAGTTTTGTCAGTGGTTTAATTAATAAAGCCTCTAACTTAACCGCCTAAGATTTTTTTACCGCTGTAGGCAATGGAGCATACAGTCCACCTGATGGTAAGTGGCTCACGGACATCAGCAATGTACAGCCGCAGCACAGCAATTGCTTATTCCGAAAAATTGCATACCCATCTTACGATACGATAGCGATGCAATGACAAAAAACCTTGTTAAAAATCATGTTTGCAACTAGCACGATGTTTGTATTACTAATTATTACAACAACAACTCTTGAAGTAAAAATTCAATCGCTAATGACCACGAAGACTAAAATAGCAGCGGTAAGAAACAAAGTTAATTTTTAAATAAAATTTGTTTATAAATAAATACATAATTAGTGCAATAAAGGTGAATACGTAACGTTGTTTTAAAATCAAATTTAAGGCTTATGAATTTCATTGCTTCTAATTGGTACTAAGAATACATTTCCGCTCTAATGCATCTATTTATATTTTAAAGGTATTTTTTATTTTTCATTAGGTTATTACACTCGTAATATAGCTGCTGTTTTTCGCAAACATAACAGAACCTTCAATGACTACGAAAAATGCAAACTATTCGCGATGTCCGATTTAGCAAAACAAAATTAACGCGGGCCGTTTTATTTAAGTCTATTTTTAGGTAAGCTTTATGTTGTAAAAATCGTTTGTCATTAAGTTATTATAATATAGCTGTTGTTTTTCTCACACGTAACAGAACCTTCAATTACTACGAAAAATGCAAAGTATCCACTCGCGATGTTCGATTTAGCAAAAAAATTTTACGCAAGCTGTCTAGTGTAATCTAATTTAAGTCTAATAATTTTTCCTACTTAATACATGGCAGCTTCAAGGGGCTTTTTTTTTTCATTGCCCTTGTAGGCAGACGCGCACACGGCCCTCCTGATGGTGAATGGTTACCGTCGCCCATGGACTTCAGCAATACCATGGGCAGAGCCAAGCCTAGACTTATGCGCGGTTTCGTAGGTGAGCTCACGTACTCAGCCTGGGAGGACTTGCTAACACTAGCTCTAGCAAGAGCAGTGCTTCGCAGAATCTACCGCCGGATCGGAATCGCGACCTATTGACTAGGTCCAGTGATATACTGAATGTGTTGTATCTATAAGTTAGGTTACACTTCGAACACTAATCGAATTCGACCATAACGCTGACTGATGCTTGGAGTGCCGAGTGGCTTAGCAATATCGATTTGACGTGTTAAAGCGAAAACAGCATAGATCTAGGAAATGCAACTAAAATGATTTTGACAATTCTATTCGTACATTTAAAAAAAAACAATATTATGGTGCACACAGTTGTTTTTAAATATATTAAGTTATTGAACAAATACAATCCCATAATAAAACTCATAAATTATGCTGTAATGCATTAAGCTATTGTTGTAGGAGATTTAATCATTTAATTTTCATAATTTTCTGAGAAGTATTGTTTATGGGAAAAAACCTGAATTGCTCGTGTTAATCTGTATTACCATCGTAATATGGATGGTACCTATTGTGAGGCACGAATTAATAACTTAATATTAAACATGTATGTATATCCTTAGTTTAATATTTTCATACCAAGTATCAGTTCGAAATTATGCTATAGATAATAAATGAACAATGCTTATGAAAAGTCCTTAGTAAAGGGACCATTTTAGATTCAGTTTTCGGGTATGTTTTGGGACACACTTATTCTATATCAGATAAAAAAAATCGATATGGATAGAGAGTTCACTCTAAATAGGCCTAAGGGTAAAGAAAAAATTAAATTAAAATCGAAAATTAAATATATGGTAGGTATATCAATTTTCTAGTATATAGGTACCTATGTTCTGGAATCGTATCTTTTGTGTTATTTATCATTGATATTTATCGCAGAATTACCGTTTTAAATTGGAAGCTATTGTCACATGTTTAAAAAAAACAAAAATAACAATATAACTGACCTTCAAAACAAACATGGTGGCTTGTCAAAAACGCGCGCAAAATTTCTCTCGAATCAACTGTCAAAATAGGTTTTCCCGCGTTCCTTCGCTGACGAGTTATGGCCGCCGTTCACTTCACTGTTGTGAGTGTAAACGAGGCCCACTTGTATTTATAACGTTACATAAATTACAAAAGTGGTTGATATTGTTATGCAGAGCGGAGCCCTAGCTCGGTTTTGTAATATTACACCCCCGCTGGCTACAAGTAGGTACCTACCGTGACGATTAGTCGCGCCTCATGGCGAAAATTCTTTAAAATTCTCGGCCAAGTGTCTTTATTATTATTACGACTGTGTGTGTGCATATCTCTCTGTTTCATCTAATTATAATAGTGTGTTTTTTTTTTATATGGCATTGGCTCCAACTCTTTTGGCATTGATTTTTCCAATGTCAAAGTATTTACAAAAATGACAGGTGCTTAGAGGGGAAAAAATGTGTATTTTATATAAAACTTAATTCATTTCGCTTATAGGTATGACTCAGATGAAAACAGCGAAAGAAATAAGGAATTCGAAAGACGGAAAAGTGTGCTCCAGCAACATGACGCATTTATTAACTTGAACTGAAATAAATATTATTAAACCAGACCGGCCCATAGATCTAGATGTACACAGCAAGGCCAAGTGCAACTGGTTTCGCTTCGTCGCATAGCTCGAGTGTCAAACTGGTCCTACAGTGCTAAGTACTACGTACATGGTCATTAAACCAATTGCTTATGTGGCAGGTGTAAATTATTAGCGATTAATAAAATATGTTTTACCTTTTAATCTCCTACCTTTTCACTACTTTTCACGTCAGAGGTCACAGTACCGAGATTGGACTTTTGGTATGTTTCTAATTTATCTTAAGTCAAAATTTATACTACTTAAATAAGATGTTAGCCGGGCGTTGTGTTAGCGTTGGGACAGAGTTGAAAATTTAGAATGTTATAGATATAACAGAAACAGAGCCTTTAATCTAAAGCCAAAAAGCTGACTGTCGGTACTCGAGTTCATTGACCTCTCCGTCTCCGCGTGATCTTCTGGATTAATCGTTTTTAAATTAATTCTTCTAGAACTACTTTTAACTGATCTTTGGTCAGTGCTTCTTAATGCTGTCCTAATTCGGAAATATTCGACCATTATCATCTCGATTTAAAGTATTTTACATATACTTAGTCTGGCCATAAATACTGTTACAATTAAAAATAAACAAAATATTACATTTGAATTTGGAATCTGTAATTTTTATATGATTGCTCATTGAGTTTTCTCATTTTGGCGCCCATACATTGTACAATATTTTGCGATATTAAAATGGAGTGGGGTGATAAAGAGAACCGAATCGCTGTGATTGCATTACACAAAGTAGGTATGGCGAAAATTCCATTTTTAAAACTCTCCATACGCTTGGTATTAAGTAAAATGTTTGTGTACCGGGCTATTAATAGGTGCAATGAGACCTCCTCTGTTTGTGACAGAAAAAGATCTGGCGGTCCACATAGTGTTCGTACGAAAGAGGCGGTCAAAGCAGTAAGGGAAAGAATTCGAAGAAATCCTGCCCGAAAGCAAAAGATTTTATCTCGGGAGATGAAGATAGTACCTAGAACCATGTCGCGTATTTTAAAAGATGACTTAGGACTTGCAGCCTATAATAAGAGACGTACTGGTCATTTCTTAACTGATAATTTAAAAGAGAATAGGGTGGTAAAATCGAAACAACTACTGAAGCGGTACGCAAAGGGAGGTAATAGAAAAAAACTGTTAACGGATGAGAAATTTTTTACAATTGAGCAACATTTTAACAAATAAAATGACCGTATTTATGCTCAAAGCTCTAAGGAAGCTTCCCAATTAGTCGACAGAGTGCAACGTGGGCACTATTCGACTTCAGTGATGGTTTGGTGGGGTATTAGCTATGAAGGAGTGACTGAGCCATACTTTTGTGAAAAAGGTATCAAAACATCGGCACAAGTGTATCAAGATACCATTCTTGAGAAGGTAGTGAAGCCCCTTAACAACACCATGTTCAATAATCAAGAATGGTCCTTCCAGCAAGACTCGGCGCCAGTTAATAAAGCAGTCTTGGTTGGAAACGAACGTTTCGGACTTCATCAGAGCTGAAGACTGACCGTCGTCTAGTCCCGATCTTAATCCGCTGGATTATGATTTATGGTCAGTTTTAGAGAGTACGGAGTGCTCTAAACGCCATGATAATTTGGAGTCCCTAAAACAATCCGTACGATTGGCAGTGAAAATTTTTCCATGGAAAGAGTGCGTGCTTCTATTGATAACTGGCCTCCACGTTTAAAGGACTGTATTGCAGCCAATGGAGACCACTTCGAATAAGCTTTTTATACTTTAAATTGTTTTATATTTATGTATTAAACTAACACACTGTAAAAGTAATAAATGTTATTTGCAATAGAATTTTTTTTGTTTTCCTTTGTAATGGTATTTATCCAGACTAAGTACCTACATGCAGAGTGTTTGAAATTTTAAGCTCTTCTTGGGTTTTCACTAATCGTAGGTATTATAATTAATATTATTTTTACGATTTGATCTCGCGTTTATAATTATCTTTACATTATTTCTGACGTTCCGAATACTTGACAGTTTTCGTGGTCAACATCTACAAGAGTCAGATTGTTCCTTAAAAGTTATTTTAATTATAAGTAGGTATATTTATAGTATTAAAAAAACCTCGACTTTCTTGTCTATTCCGAGAAATTTTAATGTCGATTCTTTATTCTCAGATGAAAGTAATTTCCGGAAAAGTCTAGAAGATATTCTAAAACTTTTTGATATCGGAGGACAGAAATGACGGAAATTTTTGGTGATATCTACTGTTTTATACAAACGTATGCCAATTAAAAAGAAATACATAACTCTACTTAGACAATTTTCGTTATATGAAGAAAATATTATTCTTAAGTTAATTAAAAGGAGTAAGTAGTTCATGTAATTTTTCAGTAGTTCTAGTGTTCACAATTCCTTCTCATTTTCGGAAAATACATGAAAACACTATAAAACGTAACTGATGTGTAAAGGCACTGACCCTTACCTAAGAAATCTAATTTTATTCGTAAATATTACGTGCAAGACGTAACTTAAATAAATGAGTGTATGCATGTATGTACCTATTGCATACAGTTTAGTAGCAATATTATCGCATAAGTTTAACTAATATTATGTTATTACACAAAGAAGGTTTGGCATCTGCTTTTTAGTTACGAAATCGGACTTTTGTCGTTAGTTGGAATCCATTGAACGAATCCTTTGTTTTAAACAATGTCAAGAAAGTTTATTATGCGTCGTGTGAACTGTCCTTAAACGGCGATTATATCAATGCCAGCCGAAGATTCATGATTAGACGAAAGAGCTGTAGGCAGGTTTTTGACATTAAAGTAATACCTAGCTGAATTATAACGAATTTAGACCAACGCTCTCAGTTTTATCATCCTTCTTTCTCTTGTGGGGTTCGGCCTTTTCTATAGTTCGTGTAAGCTGTCCTAAGGTTTGGGGTAGGTACTCTTTCAGCTTCTTGTGTCTTTCAGATTTTCAGGAATTCTTGAAAGATTTATTTTCAAGAGTTCTATGATTTTAAACTGCAGGTACACAATCCTGCGGAATGTGCACGAGAGATGGATCTCTCCTCTCTTCACTTTAACCCCTCCCTATTGGACGAGAGGAGAGGGTGTTAACTTAACGCCTTTTCCGTTATTTCTTTAAGCATCTTGAAACAGAGTAACAAGATGACGGAGTATCAGGCTTCTCGACCGTGACTGGTTCTCAAACAGCAGAATAATTCAGTGGTATCAGTTGACAAGACTGCTTAGGCGGATTCTCGAGAGTCCTCCAACCGTTGACGGCTGAGGCCATAGGAGATGTGGACCACGAGAAGCGTTTTACCTCACTTTCGTTGCTGTATCGGATTTTAATCATTTACCAGCTAAATAAATTAGGACTTGAAAGTTGCAATCCATCATAAAAGTACTATTAGAAGAGGCGATTCGATGATTGCGTAGTAGTTAGGTATTTAGAATAAGCCAAGCACAAACCAGAACTCAGTTTCATTACTCTCAAAGGCTCCGCCTAATTCTTAGTTGCTCTATTCATGGATGTCAGAGGCCTGAACTCTTCGATCAACAATACAACTGAAGTCTTATTTATAATGATAATTATGAATAAGGACATATCGTACCCTTCGAGAAACGTCGTGGAAGGGCTAAACTTATTCCAGAGTCGAATGGTAAGTAACAAAAAAGAAATTTAAAAGAATACACTGTAATTGTTGGAAGTAAGGATAGACTGCTCGGAGGTACGTGGTGTAATGGTAAGAGGTCCTTAATACTTATGATTTAGTTCCTTTCAGCACTTCGGGCATTACGGTATTCTAATTGATTTCTTAATCTAATGCTCTAGACCTTTCCATCTACCAATACTAATTGGATACACATATAATACCTACAGCTCAACAATGAGTAACCTTTCACGCGGAGATAATTCGTTCGTTGTCAACGTATGATTGACAGCTTTTGTATTCGAGCCTATTTCATTGCTAAATAGAATAAACACAAACTTATTATTGGGCTCGTGGACACTAGTACCTACTCTTGACCTTTTCTATCGTATTTTCCATTGTTCCAAAGTTTACCGGTTCTAGGGCCTATTTCAAATACGTAAGAAGTAGACTAAAATCTTAACAGTCACAGATTCCACTTTGGAGAGTAGAATGGCCGTTAATTCTCTATTTCTCGTCTCTGTACGGCGTCGCTCCCGCTGCGATATCTGTGTTGTCCGATAACCATCGACAAATTGACAACTTTTTTTTTACGTACCTGTGCTGATAACCTTGAGAGGCTATTTCAGCTTCACCCTAACGTGTAGGTAAGCTCACGGGGCTCAAGCCGGAGTGTTGCTAACACTGGCCCTAGCAAGAGCAGTGCTTCGTAGAATCTACCACCGGATCGGAAACGCGACCCACTGAGAAGATGAGGCGAGAAACTCAGTGAGCTGTATCTATGGGTTAATTCGCTTGTCGAGCCCTTCGTCGCAAGCGACGGGTTCGACGAGGACGGTGACCAGGATTGACAACAAGCACAACAGAATGCT